AGGTAGAAAGTGAAAGGATGGTGATAGAGTTTGGATGTGTTGTCCCCACCAAAGCTCATGTGGAAAACTGATCCCCAAATGTGGCAGTGCTGGAAGCTGTTTGAGTCATGGGGCAGATCCCTCGTGAATGGATTAAAGCTCTCCCTCGGTGGGAGATTAATGATTGAGTTCTCGCTCTATTAGTTCCCATGAGAGGTGGTTGTTTAAAAGACCCTGGTACCTCCTCTCTCTCTCTGGCTTCCTCTCTTGCTTCCTCTCACCATGTGATCTGCTTGTACCCACTGGCTGCCTGCCACTTTCTGCCATGAGTAGAAGCAGCCTGAGGCCTGTGACAGATGCAGCTGTCCCAGAATCGTAAGCCAAATAGACCTCTGTTCTTATAAATTACCCAGTCTCAGGTATTTCTGTTATAGCAACACAGAATGGACTAATACAGATGCAAAATGATAATCCATGCAAATAGTGACCAAATCAGAGCTGGAGTGGCTATACTAATATCAGATAAAATAGGCTTTAATCAAATAAGGTGATAAAAGACAAAGAAGAACATTATCTATTAATAAAAGGTTCAATACAGCAAAAAGATATAATTATAAACATTTATACACACAATAACATATCCTCCAAATATATAAAGCAAAGATTGACAGAATAGACAGAAAAGAGAGTTTTACAGTAATACCCTATATACAATAAGGCATAGGTCAATAAGACAAAAAATTATTAAGGAATTAGAGGACTTCAATAACATAATAAACCTACTAGATCTAGCAGAAATATACAGAACACACCAGCCAACAAGGACAGAATACACATTCTTCTCAAGTGCACACAGAACATTCTCCAGGACAGACCACATGTTAGGCCTCAAAATAAGTCTCAAAAGATTTTAAGATATAGATACCATACAGAGTACCCTCTTTGACCTCAGTGGGATAAAATTAGAAATCAATAACAGAAAAAAAACTGAAAAATTTATATATATGTAGAAATTAAACAATACACTCTTAAATAACCAATGGATCAAAGAAAAAATCACAAAGGAAATTAGAAGATATTTGGAGACAAATGAAAATGAAAACATATCAAAATGTATGGGATACAGTAAAAGCAATGCTCAGAGGGAATTTTATAGTTGTAAATACCTTCATTAAAAAAGAAGATCTCAAATAACCTAGTTTTACACCTTAGGGAACTAGAAAAAGAGGAGTAAACTAAATCCAAACCTAGCAGAAAAAAGGAAATAATAACAATTAGAGCAGAAATAAACAAAATAGAGAACAGAAAAACAATAGAGAAAATCAATGAAACAAAACGTTGGTTCTTTGAAAAGATCAACAAAATTAACAAACCTTTAGCTAGACTGACCAAAAAAAAAGAAAGAAGATGCAAATAACCAAAATCAGAAGTGAAAATGGGGACATTACTATTTACCTTACAAAGATAAAAAGGATTATAAGAAAATACTATAAACAAGTGTATGCCAATAAGCTAGAAAACCTAGCAGAAATGGATAAATTCCTCGAAGAACACAAATTACCTAAACTGACTTAAGAACAGAAAATTTCAACACATCAATAGCAAGTAAAGAGTCTGAATCAGTAATCAAAAACCTCCCAACAAAGAAAAGTCCTGGATCAGATAGGTTAACTAGTAAATTCTTCTAACATTTAAAAAAGAATTAACACATTCTTTTCAAACTCTTCCATAAATACTGAAGAAGTAACCCTTCCTAACTTATTCTATGATGCCAGTGTTACCCCAATACCAAATCCAGATAAAAACATCACAAGAAAAGAAAATTACAGAACAATTTCCCTAATGAATGCAGATTAAAAAAATCTTTAATAAAATATTAGCAAATTGAATCCAAAAGCATATTGAAAGGATTATTTACCATGACCAAGTGAAATTTATCCCAGGAATTCAACATGAGAAAATCAAATCATATAATACATCACATTAAAAAATGAAGGAAAGGGGCCGGCCTGTGGCTCACTTGGGAGAGTGTGGTGCTAATAACACTAAGGCCATGGGTTCCGATCCCTATATAGGGATGGCCAGTTAGCTCACTCAGGAGAGCATGGTGCTGACAACACCAAGTCAAGGGTTAAGCTCCCCTTACCTGTCATCTTTAAAAAAAAAAAAAAAAAAAAAGGAAGGAAAAAACACAAGATCATCTCAATTAACTCAGAAAAGGCATTTGACAAAAACTAACACCACTTCTTGATAAAAACTCTCAGAAAACTAGGGATAAAAGGAAAAATTTTCAACATGATAAAGGGTATTTATGAAAAATACATAACTAACATCATACTCAATGGCAAATGACTGAAAGTTTCTGTCAAAGATTAGGAACAACACAAGGATGTCTGCTTTCATCTTTGCTATTCAACAATGTACCAGAAGTTCTAGCTAGAGCTATTAGACAAGGAAAATAAATAAAAGACATCCAAATTGGAAAACAAAAGATAAAACCATCTCTATTTGCAGATGACACAATCCTATATATAGAAAATCCTGAAGAATCCACAAAAACTCAACTAGAGCTAATAAACAAGTGGCAGGTTACAAGATCAACACAACTGATTTTTGACAGGGCTGCCAAGACCGTTCAATGGGGAAAGAACAGTCCTTTCAACAAAAGGTGCTCAGAAAACTGGATATCCACATGCAAAAGAATGAAGTTGGATCTTCACCTTGCACCATATACAGAAATTAACTCAAAATGGGAAAACAACCCAAACTTAAGGACTAAAACTATAAAACTCTAAGAAGAATACATTGGGGAAAATCTCCTTGACACTGGATTTGTTTATTTATTTTTTTTAAAAAAGATGACTGGTAAGGGGATCTTAATAACCCTTGGCTTACTGTTGTCAGCACCACACTCTCCCAAGTGAGCCACAGGCCAGCCCCTGACACTGGATTTAAAAACAATTTCTTAGGGTTGGCTGTGGTTCACTTGGTAGAGTGTGCTGCTGATAACACCAAGGCCACGGGTTCGGATCCCTATATAGGGATGGCTGGTTAGCTCACTTGGAAGAGCGTGGTGCTGACAACAGCAAGCCAAGGGTTAAGATCCCCTTACCAGTCATCTTTTTAAAAAAAATAATAAAATAAAAACAATTTCATGGGTATGACACCAAAAGTGCAGTCAACAAAAGAAAAAAGAAATTGAATTTTATCAACCTTAAGAACTTTTGTACATCAAAGGATACCATCAAGAAAATGAAAAAACCTACAGAATGGGAGAAAATATTTGCAAATCATACATCTAATAAGGGATTAATATCTAGAATATATAAAGAATTTCTAAAACTCAACAACAAAACATCCCAATTACAAAATGGGAAAAGAACTTGAATAGACATTTCTACAAAGATGTACAAATGGCCAATAAGCACATGAAAAGATGCTCAATATAATTAATCATTAGGGAAATGCAAATCAAAGTCCCAATTAGGTACCACTTCACACCTACTAGGATGAATGTAATTAAAAGAAAAGAAAAGAAAATAACAAGTGTTCCCCAGGATGTGGAGAAATTGGAACCCTGGTATATAACTGATGGGAATGTAAAATGGTGCAGCCTCTATGGGAAACAGTTTGGTAGTTTCTCAAAAGTTTAAACATAAAACCACCATATGACCCAGGAATTCTACTCCTAGGTATATCCAAAAGAATTGAAAGCAGGGACTTGAACAGATATTTGGTTACCAGTGTTCATAACAGTATTCACAATAGCCAGAAGGTAGAAACAAACCAAGTGTCCATCAACAGATGAATGGGGGCCGAGCCCGTGGCGCACTCGGGAGAGTGCGGCGCTGGGAGCACAGCAGCGCTCCCGCCGCGGGTTCGGATCCTATATAGGGATGACCGGTGCGCTCACAGTACTCACTGGCTGAGCGCGGTGTGGCCAGTCTCAAAAAGGACAAAACAAACAAACAAACAAACAAAAAACCCAGATGAATGGGTAAACAAAAGTGGTATATACATACAATAGAATATTATTTAGCCATAAAAAGGAATAAAGTTTTGATACATGCTACAACATAAATAGACCTTGAAAAAAATAAGCCAGACAAATACTGTATGACTCCACTTACATGAGTTACCTAGACTAGGCAAATTCATAGAGAGAGAAAGTAGAATAGAGGTTGCCAGGAACTGGGAGAGAGTGGAAGTTATTGTTTAATGGGCACAGAGTTTTTATTGGTGATGATAAGAAAGATTTGGTATATGTACAGGTGATGGTTACACAACACTGTGAATATATTTAATGCCACTGAACTGTACACTTACAAATGGCTAAAATAATAAGTGTTATTTATATTTTACCACAATAAAAAACTGTTATTCATTGATTTACCATATGACCCAGTGATGCACTCCTAGCTATAAACCCAAAAGAAATGAGTACATGTCCATACAAAAACTTGTCAATGAATGTTCATAGCAAAATTACTCACAATAGCCAAAAAAGTGGAAATAACTCAATGTCCATCAATTGATGAACAGATAAACAAAATGTGGTATATCCATACAATGCAACATTATTCAGCAATAAAAGAGTCAAGGGCTGGCTGGTTAGTTCACTTGGGAAAGTATGGTGCTGGTAACACTAAGATTATGGGTTTGGTTCTCCATAACGGCCAGCCACCAAAAAAAAAAAAGTCAAGTTAAAACTGGGAAATTCTAATAAGATTGGTGGATTGTTTCAATGTCAATATCCTGGTTATCATCTCAATAAAGACATTAAAAAAATTTATTTTGAAGAACGCTGTTGAAGAGCTTTCAGGATGGAGTGACAGAAGATAAGATGAAACTCTGGAAAATTTTAGGTATCAATTAACCTTGCTTTTTCTGTCCCTCATTAATATAAATAGTGGACCATATGTACTTACCCAGCATACTGAATTTCTGTACTTTTCCCAACCTTAAGGGTAGGATAAAAAAAAAAAAGTGTGAAATTTGTAAATGATTTTGAGTCATCTTACCAGTGAGTAACTCTATCCACGTTTGGACAGTTTCTGTGGGTTCAGTTGCTTTGATGTGTTTGAGGGTTTCATCTAGTAAAACATCACCTGTTGGGCTGTCTGATTTTAGCAGTACCTTTGAGGAAAGAAGAAACAAGGGACCCTAATTCATTTACTTCACTCAAGTTAAAATCTTTCAATATATCATATATACATCACTGGTTAAGTGTTGCAGGAAATGTAAAGAAGCATAACATACTGTTTCTGTCCTCAAGAAGTTTAAAATCTAGTATGGGGTGATAGAGATAAGACAAAAATAACGTTCTATGAAGTAGGCCCTAGTGACAGACTGGATATGAATGATAATGAAGAAAAGACTCAACAATAACTCTTTCAGTCTGAACAACCAACTTGTAAAACCATTAATAAAGTAAGAAAGTGAGAAAAGGCAGTCAGTTTGGGGAAAAGTTGATAAATTTGGTTTTAACTGATATGGGATAGCCAAGTTGAAAAGTCTAGACAATAGTTAAATATGTTCCTGGAGGTGGAAAAAGAAGGCATGCCTAGAAATTTGGGAGTTAATTTCATGAATGTGATAGATAAAACTGTAAAGGTAAATATCTCCAAAAGGACAGAAAATCACACAATGAGATGCAAATGGCTTAGATGTTAAGAAATAGTGAGGTAAAGGAAATAGGGTATAATCAGAGAAGCAAGAGAATATAGCAAAGGCGAAGAATGGAGAAAGTTTCAAGTAGGAGGAGGTGGTCAAAAGTGTCAAATGCCACATATAGGTTAAAAGAGAAAAATAAACTGAAGACTGAAAAGAAGCTGGTGATACCTAGGAATATAGTTTCAGTAGAGTGCTTAGGATGAGAGAAGTGAGTGGAAAAAATCAGTAAGAAAATGGATACAGGAGTATAGTTCATATGCTGGAGAGGACTTGCAGTAAACGGAAGGAGAGAAACTGAATAGTTATCGTAAAACAACCAGGGTTAAGCAAAGACTGACCTGACCCACATGATTCCCTCCACCTACATACACCTATGTAATACTTTATTTCATAATGTTATAGCTATAAACAGAGGGTGAAATAATCAAAAGCATCCTAAGTGTGATTTTTCTGCATAAAAAAGGAAGACAAAACGATGAACTTCCTATAACTCTTTAAACTACACACTTGGATTTCTCCTTCTCCTGTAGAATAAACCAGTTTAAACAATAAGACAGTTGAGCCAGTGATATTTATCTTGCCTCACTACATAAATCTTCCCATTCTTCCAAAACATACTGTATTTGTATTTCCATAAATTAAGAGGATGTTCTCAGGATAATATACCTTTCTGTCTAGTAGTCGCTTCTTACGCATGGTGGGGGGTTCCAGAAAGATTCGACCCCGCATGGCCAGTTCTATCAGGATGCCCCCTCGTAGGCCAGATGATATGCAGTCATTCCAGAAAGATGTGTAACCCTAGGAAAGGGAAAAAGAGAAGAGAAAGAATGGTCTAAAATACTGACTTCCAGCAGGCACCCTAAGAATTGGCCACTTTGTTGTGATTCGTTTCACATCACACTACATGAATTCAAAGCAAAGTATAGAATAAGAGAATAGAATGTTTCTCTTAATCTAAACCCCCGAAATATGATTTTTGGTCTGACTCAATGCTCATTAGTAAATTCTTATGGTTTAGTTATTAGTTAATAATTGGCATGCCAAATTTTAATTTTTGAGAAGAATTTTGGCCTTTTAGAAACCTGTTTCCATGAAACACTAACTTTCAGAGTAGGGTACAAGTAAGTAAATAAATCAGGTAAAAAAAAAAAAGTATAAAGCATTTGAACCTTTTACTCCTCTACTAGATACTGTTTTGATGGGAGGTATAGTAAAAACATAATTCTGCCACTGATGTTAAGTGCCTTGAGTATGTTACTTAACCTTTCCGAAGGACAATGTCCTCATCTGTAAAATGGGGACACTGATATCTATTTTCATAAGTTTGCTGTGAGGATTAAATGAGATGAAATATATGAGAAAGCATTTAGTAGTGCCCAACACATAGTAGGCATTTAAATGTTAGTTCTCCTTCCCTAGGAGCTATAGGGAATATTCAAAGACATATAAGAAGAGTCACTGTCTTAAGGAACTGAAAATCTAGCTAAAAAGAGCATGTACACTTGAGAAAAGTTCTGTGACAATATAAAATTTAAATAAAAGCTCAATTGAAAAAGCAATAGAAGAGATAGGCATAAATGACTTAAAAGTTTGGTTTGTATGATAATTTTTCAAACTATAAATCACGCTAGGGCTACTGTAGTCAGAAACCCTTATGGAACTTGAGCTGGGGTTTGACGAATAGGTTAAATTTGGCAGAGAGGGAGGGTTTTCCAGATAAAGGAAATCATCCTAATTCTCCTTATTCTTCAAAAGGGTATTCTAAGCAAAAGTGCCAAGGAAGAGCTCAAATATGTTTATAGAGATCTAATTCAAGGTTTTAAGGAGAAAATTGTGAGATCAAGTTGGCTGGGGTCAGGCTGGGAAAAGCCCTGATGCTTTGAATTTTTCAGGGAAAGGTAATAGTGAATCCTAAAGGTTCTAAACAAGGAGTTATGATGAACACAAGAAATACCCAACAGAGTTATCAGAACTGTTCAATGCTCTTTAGCTATCTTTGGCTGTAGCATTCTCTTTCACTAGAGAGAAGCTGGGTGAGATGTTGGCAGGAAGTTCTAGCATAGTTTTACGCATCAGCAAAGAGGTAACTAAATAATCACTATTTACAGAAGTAGTATCTAATACTTGTTGGACACATTATGTACTAGATTTGTGCCAAGTTTTTTTACATGCATTATCTGATTATATTTTCATAACAATCCTATAAAGGGAGATACTACTATTATCAGCACATTAAAGATGAGGAAACAAAGGGTTACAGAAGTTATGTAGCCTAACAGAAGTCACAATGCTAAATAGTTGAAAATAATTTTCTATTTAAAAAAAAAATTTTTTTT